AGCATCGTGCTAGGAGCTATAGGTGAATGTATATCTTTGGCTTTTTCAACATTTCAAGAGACTGAAGCTAAAAGGAAAACAGCCAAATAATAAGAAAAACTTCCTATGAATGAAATGGATTATTGCTTTCCTATTTCTTTATTGCTGTATTTTAAGTTTTTATCACTGTGTGCTGAGAAACAGAATATCCTAAAGTAAGTTTGCCTCTGGACAAGGTTTTCTTTATTCAGGCAATAAAATATTATTTATTCAAGGTTCTTGTAGTTCTGGAACAATATTAGAGAATAGATACATTTAAAATGCCACAAATCCTCTCCTCTTATGTTCAGCAGAAAACAGCCCAGAGGAAGCCATTATATAAATCACGAACCTAAAGTATATAACCAATAAAATAAGTCTTTCCAAGTTTTCATTTCCCGCAATTTTATTTTTTATTAATCACACAAATAATGTTATACTGCATGTTCATCATAGTATTATACCTAAGTGTACAGGATTTTTTAAAAATGGATTCATTCCCTCTTTGTCACCAGTTTTCTCAAAGATAATGACTGTTAACAGTTTAGTGAATTTTCCTTCCAACTTTTTTCTGTATATTTTGATGTCTTTCTCCACATAAGTTAGATTGTTCTTACTTTTGATTTTTTTCACTTGCCAATATAGCTCAGACATTGAGCAATTTCATTTTTTAAATGCTGCATAATATCACAGAGTATAAATTGCCATAATTTATTTACTGATCTATAATTAAGTTGCTTCCAATTTTTTATTACCATAAGAATGGTTTGGTAAGTGTCTTTATGATCTACATCTTTGTACTCATATATGAATATATTTGTAGCATCATTTCCTAGAAATATAATTCTTAGGCTAAAAATTATGCATATCAAACTTTTGGTTGATAACTGCCACACTGTAGATCTTTCTACAACACTATCTCTCTTATAATAGATCATAGGGAACTACTGAAAGCATTCACCAGTAGCTGTACAGCACAGATTTTCAAAGCCTGGTCCCTAGACCAATGGCATCAGAATCACCTGGGACCATATTAGAAATGCAAATTCTTGGACTGCCTCCCTGATACACTATATCAATGAGGCATCTCCAAAGAAACCAAACCAATAGGATATAAATATAGAGATAGGAAAGAAACATTATTTTCAGGAATTGGCTATGTGATTATGGAGGCTGACAACTCCCCAGATCTACTGTCAATAAATTGGAAACTTAGAAGAATGTATGGGTGTGGTTCCATTGCAAAAGCTGGCAGGCTGGAGACCTAGGAAGATATTTTGGTTGATATCTGAAGGCAGAGGAAAACTGATGTTGCAGCTGCAAGGCAGTCAGGCAGGAGGAATTCTCTTACTCAGCTTTTCTGCTTTACTTAGGTCTTCAGCTGATTGGATGAGGCCCGACCACATTAGGGAGGGCAATCCGCTGTAGTCGGTCTGTAGATTCAAATATCAATCTCATCCAGAAACACCCCCACAGCACACCCAGAATAATGTTTGACCAAACATCTGGGCATAGTAGCCAGTCAGGCTGAGGCATAAAATTAACCATCATATATACTGAATCAGAGCTCTTAGGGTAGGAGCTAGCAATCTGTTTTTACGCTTTCCAGGTGATTCTGACATATACCAGAATTTGAATACCGCTGCTCTAGAGTGGGCTTTCTGGCTACTCAGATTTGTGCTCTGAGTCGTGGAAGAAGGCCTTTTAAGAACCCACAACCAAGTGGTATTAGCAATTAATCATGACAAATAATAGCCATCTTATTTGCCAGCTGGTAGAAAAAGGACATTCTCATCAGGAATTGGGGAGGGAGAGTTTCTGTGCTAGAGTTTTAGCAAGATCAGCTTAAAAACCTGATCAGCTTAAAAACCTACAGGCACTTTCTCTGAAGGACTCGTCTGTTTGTTGATTTCAGGCCTGCAATCTTCAGTAGACATGGACCTGTATTGTGGAGCTGAGCGGGTGTGCAGGGCCTTCTCTGCTCTCGTTGATCAGATCACCGTGTCCAACTTGAAGTGATAAAGAGTCCAGGTTCAAAGGCTCCTTGGGATGACAATGAAACATGTTTTCAAAATCTATACTGAAAGAATTAAGCCTTTTACCTCTCAGTAATTTGGTGTGAAGCATGAAGAAAGTTAAGTTTTATTTTTAAATCTCCCTACTCATGTGTCTTAGTTCTTCAGTTCAGAGTAAATCCTTGGGAGGAAGGGGTGGTAGAAGGAAATGGAAAGAAGAGGCCAAGTTAAATCTGTGTATGCCGAGTTTCCAACAGAGGGCTATTCTTAATTTGAATATTAATATTCAAGTGTGTGATTTACATGAATTCATGCAACTGTTTTCTTCAAGTATTATTTAAATTATTGAATCGATGACCAAATTTTCTATCTGGATGCTCCTGATGGAGAACAAGCTTGACACAGAACTAAACACACACACACACACACACACACACACACACGAGTGTATGCAAAACTGGTGAAATCTGAATAAACTCTGTGGATTGTACTAATGTCAATTTCCTGGTTGTATTATTGTACTATAATTATGCAAGATGTTACTAACGTTGAGGGAAACTGGATGAAAGGTATACAGGATGTCTCTGTATTATTTCTTATAACTATATATGAATCAATAATTATCTCAAAATAAGTTTATTTTGAAAATATGAATATTTCTTGCTAAAATCCTATATCCAATGACTTTGGCTAAAGTACCCGCCAGCCCCCTTTCTCTGCGTGTATGATTGGGGTATAGATGCTTAACTTAATAACATCTAAGTAATAGCTAATATTTTTTGACTATCAGAGCACTTAGTTTCTAGGCACCTTATAAGTACTAACTCATTTAATCCTCACAACAAAACTAGCAAGTAGTGATCTCATTTTATGAGGGAACTATGGCACAAAGAGCATCAGTAACTTGCCAAAAGTTGCATGGCCAGTAGTTGATGAAGTTGAGATTTGAACCTGGGTTCTGAGCCTATACTCTGCTCTGTACTTTCTCTCAATAAATATTGCTCTGATTCTAGTGTTTTGCATATTACCTTGATGTGCAATCCATGTTGCATTTAGAGAGGCTACCAATTCTTTTAATATGATCTGTAATTTATAGTACTGTTCCAGAAGAAAATGATGTGCAATTTAATAGGATTAGGACTAGGTTATCCATGTTCAATCTCATGCTAATATTTGCTTTTCGGCCTATTACGATTTTTAAAAATTTTATTCTCTGTCTTTCTCACTTTATCTCACTTGTTCCTTATAAATTTAATAAGCATCCCCTAAAACACTGATCAGCAAGCTACACCCCACAAGTCAAATCCTGCTTACTGCCTGTTTTATCCAAGCTATGAGTTGAGAGTGGTTATTACATCTTAAAAAAATGATCGACAGAGTCAAACGGAGAATATGTTGTGACACCTGAAAATGATATGGATTTAGATTTCATTGTCCATAAACAAAGTTTTATTAGAACACAGCCATGCTCATTCATTCACATAGTGTCTATGATGACTTGTATTCTACAAAAGAAGAATTGATTTTTAGTTTCAACAGAGACAAGATGGCTTATAGTCATATGATATTTGCTATCTGAACCTTTATAGAAAAAATTGGCAGGCCCTGTTGTCTACTACCCAGGTGAGGGAGGAGCAAAGGGCAGGCTTTTCTATAAGCAAGAGTGGCAAGAGTAGCATTTCTTCCATGATTTATAAGAAATAATAAGTTTACAGGATGGTTTTTTAAGAATATGATGAAAGGTATTAGAGAAAGTGGCATGAAAGTTAGAACCATGAGTCCATGTAGAAATATAATGTGGCAGCTTTTAATGTACCCTTCTCCTACCCAAGCTGAGGCTGGTTCCCCTTCCCAAGTTCCTTCCCCAGACTCATTTCCCCTGTTTTTAGGACTTGGTTAATTCTCAAATGCAGCTGTGTCTTCTGATAACCTTTAGATGGGGTTTTTAGTTTAAGGAGACCCCTCAACCTCCAGTGAAAAAACATTTACTGACGCTTCCTTTAGGTCTGGAAAAAGCAAGTGAATTGCCAACATATCTGAGATTCAAACTGGTTGTCAAGTATTGGTTGTGATAGAACAATTGGAAAGATGAAGTAATTAGAGATAAAAAAAAGTTGCATTGTGTCTGGATCTCAAATATGCTTGCTCAATGGATTTCTCTGCTGTGAACCTCATCAGGTCTGTTCATTTTTCAGGGAAAAATTTTTAATGGATTCTTTCATTATAATGCTGTTCATTTTACTTTTTGTTTGCTTTGCATGCAAAATGTAACTGACCACTTACAGAACTTTAATATTTAATAAAATAGGAAATATGCTAATTGGAAAATACTTATACTTACTGCTATTTTATTAGAGTTTAGATTATCAGTGATGGTAATATCAAAGGTTGAAATAAAGAGACTCCAGTAATGTTACTTGAGGTCCAGAGCTTTTATTAATTTTGTTTCCATTAGAAGAATGCTTTACTTGCTATTTTTGTGCATTTTTTGTTTGCTCTCTGTTTTATATAGTATTCAAAAATATCCTTTCAAACAAGATTTAGGTATTAGAGACAGATATTAAGTGATAATTAATAAGTATAGTTCCTTTTATGCCTGTGCATAAGCAATGTCTAATGGCTGGGAAGTCATGCAGTGTATTCAAGTTCAATGTATGGCCCTTTTGTTCATTAACAATATCCAGCATCCCAGAACAATTTATCAGAATGAATACAAACGATCTGATTTGTCCAATCCCCTGGTCCTCTTTGGAAGCTATTTTAACTCTTTCTGACAGTGGGATGGTCGGGCATTAAAGCCACCATTTGAAGGAACATGTTAGAATGAAACCTTAAGTACTCAGAATGTGGCTGATGATTATCTCTGAACATTCCCATCATTTCAAGTAAACAAATGATCAATAGTCAAGAAAAACGTGGGCTTTTTTTTTTTTAATTCCAAGATGTGAGATAGCTCTGAGGTTAGATTTATTTTCTCTTTATTTCCAGGCCACTGGTCACTTTTCCAATGAACTTAGACCCACTCTTGTGCAAGCGCATGCTTATCAAACCTTCAATCAACTCTTTCTTCTTTAGGAAAGGTGTTCTTAGTTGCTGAGAATATGCACCTGAAAGTAGAGAAAAGTAACTCATTGTTAGAGCACCAGATTATTCTCAGGTCACTTAAATGTCAATAAATTGGTTTTAAAAGAAAGTTTGTTGGGGTGCCTGGGTGGCTCATGAGTTGAGCATCTGACTTGGTTTCCATTCAGGTCATGATCTCATGGGTCCTGGGCTGGGGCCCTGCCTTGGGCTCTGCACTCTGCAGGGAATCTGCTTGAAGATTCTCTCCCCTTGCCCCTTCCTCGACTCTCACACCCTCTCTGTCTCTCTCAAATCTTTAAAAATAAAAAATAAAGTTCGTTGTTTCTGTCCCTATCAAAAGTCTCTATAAATTTATTGCAGGAGTGTGTATGCAAATCTGTGCTTATGTGTCCTTTGCAGTTTAGTTAAATAACATAAATTAAGTAAATTGTAATAAATGCATTTCCTTGTTAATGAATGTGTATGTACTAAGATGTTTTTCTGATTAAAAAAGTAAAAATGGTCATTATACATTTTTTAATGTTAAAGCTTTATGAAAAAAAAGAAAAAAAAGCTTTATGCGTATACACTCCAGACCATAATTTAATTAACCATTACATTTAAATCATTTCCAAGTTTTCTGTTGTTATAAACAGTATTCCAGGGAAGATCCTTGTACTGCATTGTTGGCCACATCTCTGAATGTTTCCTCAGGATAGATTTCTAGATGAGTAATTTCTGAAGATGTTACTAGGAGATTTCTTGGAACCAGTAAAGTAAAAAATCAAGCATTTGTAAAACCAATTTTATATATTCCTGAAGCATTGTTTTCTCTAAGGCTTAGTATTTAAAAAATAAGCACAAACATTTGCCAGCTAGGCACCAACGGCAAATATCATCATATTATAAATCTAAATTTTAATTTCCTCATCATGAGCAATGCAAAGACTCACAATCTTCCTAGAACATACAAACTGCCAGTCTCAGGCAGACAGGTTTTTCTGTTTTTTTCATTGGCAGAGCAAGGTTTGTTGCAGAAAAAGGCCATTATTTTTGGATGCAAGCAAGGATGTCAAAATCCCTTTATTTGCATTGAAGTTCTTACTAACCATGAGTTAAACTTAACTCTATTATTCCTATTTGAAAGTTAATCAGCCTACTCTTTTCCTAAATCAATTAATAACTCTCTATTTCTCTCTGCCTTGACATGATCCATGGTAATTCATTGGTTAAGCTGGGTTACACCATCTTCACACTTTCTGGATATTTCAGCATTCAGTCATTGACTCATATCTTTTTAGACTAAATAACAATGATCTTTTGAGTCTTTCCTCAAGTGATGATATCTCTAGCCCTCAGAATTTTTGGAATTCTCTTTTCTGGATGCCTTCTGTTCCTGCTGAGCATTGTTAGAAACAACTACAGTATCCAAGTCATCACCCAGTTCAAGCTGTCCTTGAGGTAAAGCTCTTCCAGACTCTATCCATAGTTAAATACATGCCTTCCATAAATCCCCCTTTTATAGAATCACAGAACACTAGAATGGAGAATGTAAAGAGACTTTGTGGGCCATCTAATTCTTTCTTCACCCCTCTTTTTCAGATGAAGAAACTGAGAGCTAAATAAGTTAATTAAGTTGACTTAAGTTACATAGCTATTTGGTATCTCTTGTTTTCATTATTTGTTGGCCCAATATTGACAAATATATATTAACATACATTTAGGAGTTTAATGTTTTTAACAAAGCATGATTCGCAGCAACATTTCTCAAGTGCATTTAAACTATTTAAATTTGAGGGTATAAAAATAACAAAAATCTTTTTGCAAGTTATGTAGACACATTAGTTCTTTCCTTCTGCTCTGGTGATTTGATATCCCCAAGAACTATAGAGACAAACATCTCTTTACCCTCACCCCATCCCAACCTGGTAGTAGATTAATCCCCTATGAACAATAGAAAAAATTAGTGGAGAATCTGTGCAGGTACATCCAGAGCCCAGTTGAACCACTAGAGATTTAATCAAGCCTCTTGAGATGAAACTCAGTGTTCCAGCAACTATTTAACTTTTAGACATGGTGTCTCCTTGACCCAAGACCCTCTCTGACTGTGATTATACAATCTAAATGGAAAGTCTTGTTTCCTGATCTGCAAACAACTGTTTATGTCAAACATTAAAATAACTTCAATAAAGTAAAATATTCCCTCCTGCTACATAGCCGCTCTGGCTAAAGTTTGCAAACCAGCTGAGTCAACAGCAACTCTGTAGCAAGAAAAAAGAAAGTGCCTTCCAAAACTGAAAATAAAGCTACTATTTTTTTAAAAGAAGAAGAAATTCTATGCTTAAATATGCTCAAAAAATTACATGTAGCTTCAGACTATTCTGATATCCACACTGCAAGCAAGCAAACTGAAAGCTGTTTTAGAGAAAGACCTTATGTGTGTATATAATTGTTTTCATATTCACCTGAACACAATTATTATTGTTTTCATTTAGTCTATAGATACTTTAGTAATTTAAAATGAGTGCAAAATACCTTTAAAAAGCCCCAATAAATATGGGTAGTGATTTGAGAATGACAACTAAATATGATAAGAATGGAATAAAGAGTTCTATACCACAAGTGAAGAAAATATCCAATTCTATTGATACTGATGTCTAAACAGGCTCTGTTTAAAACAGTTTTTTAAATATTGGTAACCAACATTGAAAGACACTTACTTTGTATTTCTTTAGTAGCTAAGCTGGTAAAAGAATATTTCCTCTAAAAATGGAAATTGGTTTAAGTTACAATAACACTTGCCAAAATAGTAAATTTATCTATAAATAACAGCAATGGATTATCTGGTTTAATGGATCAGCAAACCATGAGGATTTTTAGCTATTGAGGTTAAAACAAAGTACATATATAAAGGCTCTAGAATATCTTGGGAAACGGTTGATCTAGAACTATTACTGTTAAGTATTATTCCAGTAGAGAAATTATAGGGATATAAATGTAAAAATTAGTTATGCCTCAGTTTTTCACTGTTGCATAAGTAATTCCAAGAGTTACTATCACCCAAACAGCCTTTGTTGCAAGGATTGGAAGCTCATTGGTTAGAACAACATTTAAAAAGGAACAAAAACAATATGAATAGAGCTAAGTTATCTATTTCTCAGCTTACTCACAGGGGCTCATTTGCTCTAATTCTAATTCTATAAAGGATATTTCTTCTAATGCCCCCAGAGAAGACTGATTTTGAATATAATATTCGCACCACTGAGAATCTCTAAATTTGTCGGAATTTCCAAATTACTAAAAATTAATCACTCAGCTTGCTGAAAGTTAATTACATATTTGACATTTGTTCAAAAAGCAACAAGGAGTGAATCTGCAAGCCAGCCTATTTTTCTGCCTTTTATTTCACCAGCTAGGTACATTGCAAGGAGCCCCTCCATTTACATGGAAGCCATATTTTATTCTATTTAAAGGAGATAAAAGCTTGTGTGTTGTGAATATTCCCCAGACTTACATTCAAATCTTCCCAAGTCCATAGCATGTTAAAGACAGGTTATGACCCCTAATATTCAGGCTAATCACTTTATACTTTTGTGTTGTATTTTGGGAATCATGCTTTTCCTTACTTGTCTTTTTATTCTTCCTTGCTGGTATTTACATGAAGTATGAGAATGAAGACAATATAATGATATAGACAACTACCATGAAATACAAAAGGAAGTGCTATCTTCCTATGACTTCTGTGCTCTTGAATTCACCCCTGAGAGGAATATATGTGGCAATGAATTCCCCTAAAACCATTTCCCTCTTCCTCACAATTGGGCACATTCATACTTGATTGACCATTTTGAAAGACATGGGACCTAGAATTGACCACCTTGTTTTCTCCCTGTGTGCTGTGGATGCACTGCTGAAATCTTTTCTTCCTTCCCAGCCAATTGCCTCCTTCCTAAGCCATGGTTCCTGGAGAGGACACAGTCCACATAGATGTCCCAGAAGAGTTGGGCCAGATCCCAAAACAGTGCTCCATGCTTCAAGTTCTCAGATGACTTCAGGTAGATCATAAAATCCCAGAAACCTGAAACAGTGTTAGAAATTCGAGGCTTCCACATTTCCAGGAGAAGCACTGAAGAAGATTCCCAGCACTGAGGATCAGCTTGGTTAAGAGCCAGCACGTCTGTCTGGCTATGACAGAAGAAAGGAGAGACACAGCACATTCCCACAATGATCAGGGCGCAGGTAAGGGTCAAGGGGCGGTAGATCCCTCTTCTGTTCCCAGGATCGGCCATGGGGCTGAAACTGAATAGAATGGAAATGTCATACAAATCCTTACTTGAGCTCCACATTCAATAATGAAAATAATCATGCCTTTAAAAACCTTTGTGCCAGCAAAGGAAATACACCATTGTCCCTAGGAAAATTCTTACACCATATCTCCCATGAGTCCCATTCTACCTAAAATGGGTCATTGCCACACCAGGTACTATGAAACCAAGATATTTAGATTAGAAAGTATTAATTTCTAAGACATGTTCCTTTAGGAAATGATTAAGTGAATTTGTTTTCCCTAGTACAGAGGAACAGAGCTTAAAAGAATATAAAGTGAAAATTTAAAGTCTTACTGCATGACTTTAATTATTCTATAATATCATAGTTTAGCCTACCTATTCTAATCCAGGACTCCCATGCAATTAAGAATTTTAATATATTTCATCCTTAGATGTTTTCTTATTTGGGGTGACTTTCAATTTTTAAAAAGCATAAGAATTATAAAATGTTGTAAATAAACATAAACATAAGGTTTATGTTTATTTAGATACTAAAAGTATGGGAACCAAAGAGCATATATTCAATCCATTAGAGTAGAGTCAATTGACATTTTGTCAACACATAAAATACTCTACAATTCTGATATAACTTTCATAAAGATAATGTTTTACCATTTCTTTCTTCTTGCTATGAATCTTAAGAATTTTAATGAAAACTTTGCCTCTCATTCAACTTTTCTGGCTCTCAAAGCCTGCTGCAATAAAAGTAAACCATATAGGAGCACTTAGGTGGCTCAGTAGGTTGGTTGGGCCTCTCTTTGTTTCACCTCGGGTCATGATCACATGAGTCATGGGGTCAAGCCCCAGGGGCTCCATTCAGCATGGAGTCTGCTTGAAGATTCTCTCCCTTTGCCCCTCTCCCCATTCTCTCTCTCTCTTTCAAATAAATAAATAAACAAATCTTTAAAAATTTAACTATATACCACTTTGAAATTCTTATGTTACACTTCAGACAGGTGCAACGAGAAATAATGTCCTTAAAATAATACTAATCTGAATTTTCTTTTTTCCCAGGAGAAAAAGCTTATCTGACCTTTAAAACTACACAAAATGTATATCACAGTCACACAACTCTAACATAAAGAAAAAAATAGGAGGTCATCTACAGCTCACTTTTAGTTTTATCTTATATTTCCAAACCTTTTAGATGTGAATATCATGAAAGCAAGGAAGGCACAGCTCATGGGAATACGTCTATATGGAACATTTAAGGATAACACCATAAGACTGAATCTTTCTCTTCTGCACAGCAGCAGAGCATATTGAGACACCCTTAAATCAGTATTTCAGAAACGCCTTTGAGCATGCAGGTTCCTATTTGGAAGAGGCATGTTGAGATACAGGTAATTAAAAAAAATTTCCAGATCACTTACACAGGATTTCTCCCTGAACAAACTTATATTCAATATGTCCTCTTCTGAACTAAAATATCGAAGTTGAGTTGCCCCAAAGGCTGTTTATCCTTAGGGGGCAAGTCCAAGGGTCAAGCGCTGAGTTATAGGAAGACGGAGGGCGGGACGCTGTCCAGGGTGCTGAAGCCAGTGCGGTGCAGGACGCCCCGTCTGCTCCCACCACAGCACTCAGGTCGGCTCCCATAGGTTCCCTTCTCAGGCAGGACACTCTTCCCGGAGCCTGCAAGTGCCTCCGTCCCGGGGTTCTCCGTGCGCCCTGCTAGGAGCCCAGCGTTGGGCTCGCTGCGTCCCGATCCCACACCTGGTTCAACGGCCTCCCCCTCTTCAGTGCGGAGCTGCCGAGGACCGGCTGTGCGTGCCCTTTGCGCTCCAGTATTTCCCTTACCCTGAGCCTCAGAACTCCCAGGTCGCAGGAGGGCACCCCTTTGCACTTACCTGCTCAACCCTCCCTGGGTTCCCTGGAGTGTGTGAGGAGGAAAAGCTCAGGCTGCTCCCCGAGCGAGTGACGGTCCCCACCCCGGCGTCCTGAAGGCTACGGTGCCTCTTAAGCAGTGGGAGTGCTCGGCGCCTCTCCAAGTCTACGTCAAAGCGTTGGGAACTGCCGCCACCTCTCACCCCCAAGTCCGTCTCCGGCCCCCTCCGCCCCGCTCCCTCCCCAGGAGATCTCACTTCAGGTGGCCAGCAGGCTCCGCGCCACACGCCCTCACTGACCCCGGCGCGCACCTGCCCTCCACCCGGTGGAACCGAGTCTATGCGGTTTGACTTCCCGCCACGCGCCCGCAGGAACTGGAAAGTTGGGACCCAGCTCCGCGACAGTCTGGGAGCGAGTGGGGCTGCCAGATCCCCACCCCTCAGGCTTGCCTTGTTTGAGGATAAAGAAGGAAGCCCCGGGTCTCTTGGGGTCGGGAGGCACTTGGGCGCTGGGACAGAGGTCGGACAGGGCTCAGAGGAAATAGGGCGCGTCTTAAAGAGATCTGGGTGTGAACTTCTCCAGTCTGCCTGCAGTCCTGGGCTGGGAGGAGAAAAATGCACTTGGGACAAGGACGGAGGGAGGGAGGGACATGGGGATGCTGGAAGCTCCCCCTGTCTGGAGACAGGAAACCCCATTACCTCCAGGCTCTGTGGCCTGGATCCCCTCAGTAGCCTGGACTGTTACTGGCATCACTTGTGTGATGGAGCCCACTGCTCCAGATTCACAGGCTGGTCCCTGCTTTTTGCCTGGGAATCTCTTTTGGTTCTCCACTCACAGCTAGTTAATATCTCAGTGTGGGGCTGTCAAGACTCCAGGGCTCTGCTAAGCATTAGCATCAACCTCAACTGAAAACACACCCAGCCTGGGGGCCTAAGGCGAAAGTCCTACCTATGCAAGTGTTTCCGAGGTTTGCCCCTCACCTTAAAACCCTCTAAGTGTCCTAAAAACCACTTGTAGTCTCTAACTGAAGGCTTTTGTGCCAGCTCAGTAGTATCCATGGTTACCTTTCAGAGGGGCACAGAAAGGAACCCAGGCTTATAGCAAGATTTACTGAAGACAAGAACTGACCAGCTACCCAAGGGATAGAAATACAGCTCCAGAAATGCCTGGGTGGCTCAGCGGTTGAGCATCTCCCTTCCACTCAGGGCCTGATCCCTGGGGTCCTGGGATCGAGTCCCACATCACTTCCCTGCAGGAAACCTGTTTCTTCCTCTGCCTGTGTCTCTGCCTCTCTCTCTCTGTGTCTCTCATTAATAAATAAATAAAAATTAAAAAAAAAAAAACAAAAAGAAAGAAAGAAGAAAGAAAGAAAGCAAGCTCCAAAGAGGATTCCTGAGGGATTCTGGACTTTTTCTCGTGCTCTGAAACCTGATGGAGTGTACTTCAGTCTCTGAATTTGTGAACTGAACATGCTAATGCCTGCTTCTAATTATGCCCTAAAGATGGCAGGAAAGATAATAGGTGAGGTCTTGGACTTACTTCCTGGATTTCAAGATGCTCTCAGCCTTTTGGAGAAGGTCATTAGAAAAACACAGATGTGTGAGCACAAGGGAGAACCCTGTGGAAAGGGAAGGAAGAGAGAAGAGCAGGTATCTTTGAGGAGGTGAATGACGAACTTCTTGGAGGAGTTATGCAAGAGTCCTGGGGCCAAAAAAGAGAGAGGATAGTCTCTTCCAGGCAGTGAAGTAGGCGTGAGCAAAGACATGGAGGGAGCACTCAAAGCTGTTCTGTCGTTTTCTGGGGAGAATATGAAAGGAAAGGAGTGTAGAGAGAGAAGGGAGACAGTAGTAGGGTTGTGAGGATCTAATTCTGGTTTTGGATGTGTTGACATCACTTTTGAAAACATTTGTATATAGATTTTCAGTGCTTACTTTATTTTCCAGGGTCTATGTGCTAGGCACTATTGTAGATGCTATGAATGCAGAAGGAACAAAACAAAGTCCCTCCACTCATGGAGCTTACATTGTAGAGGGGGTGGGGAAGAACATTTATATTTTAATTTAAAAATTAAAAAAAAATATATAGGCACCTATGTGGCTCAGTCGGTTGAGCACCTGGCTCTTTTTTTAAAGATTTTATTAATTGGGGGTGCCTGGGTGGCTCAGTTGGTTAGGCGTCTGCCTTCAGCTCAGATCATGATCCTAGGGTCCTGGGATTGAGCCCCACATCAGGCTCCCTGCTCAACATCTAGCCTGCTTCTCCCTCTCCTCTGCTCATGCTCTCTCTCTCTCTCTCCCCCTCTTTTTATTTATTTTATTTTATTTTTTAAAAAAAGATTTCATTTATTTATTACTGAGAGACACAGACAGAGAGGCAGAGACATAGAAAGAGGGAAAAGCAGGCTCCCTGCAATGAGCCTGTTGTGGGACTCAATCCCAGGACTCCAGGATCAATGACCTGAGCCAAAGGCAGATGCTCAACCACTGAGCCACCCAGGCCCCCCTTTTTAAAAAGATTTTATTTATTTTTGAGTGACAAAGAGAACAAGTAAGCATGAACAAGCTGGTATGTGGGGAGGAGCAGAGGGAGATGCCAGGCAGACCCCAAACCCAGTGCAGAGCCAAATGGCCAACTTGGGGCTCAATCTCAAGACCCTGAGACTATGATCTGAGCAGAAACCAAGAGTCTGGCACTTAACCAACTGAGCCACTCAGGTGCCCCTAGTATTGGACTCTTGATTTAAGCTCAGGTGGTGGTCTTAGATCCTGGGGCCAAGCCCCACTTGGGGCTCCATGCTCAGAGGGAGAGTGCTTCACCCTCTTTTTCTCCCACCCTCTTCTTCTGCCCCTCCCCCTGCTCCTGCTCTCTCTCTTTCTAAAATAAGTGGATGAATCTTTTTAAAAATTATATATTTTTACAATGATTTGTATTTCCAGTTTCTGTGTTGAACATTGAGTTTACAGTTATATATCAAACACACATAAGTAGCTAATTAAACAAATATTGCCATATGAGTCAATAATGAGAATCTATCATTCTGAAGTGCCCCAAAAGTATATGTGTAATGTGTCAGATATGATAAGAAGAAGCAAAAGATGATCATGAGAAAGTAAAGCAAGATTGGAAAAGAATGTGGA